CCTGCTGGGATGTCAGCTCCAGCCAAAGGTGGGGAGGAAGGGAAAGATGCTGTCCCCTGCATGTAAACAAATGAGAAGTTAGACCTGAAGAGCCACAAGGAATGAGACAAAAAAGTAGAACAAAGCCACCTTCCACCTCAAGCAACCGCATAGTGCTGCCTTAAAGAAAAAAAAAAGTGACATTACATACAGCTGAGACACACAAGTGCAGAAAAAGAGAAACTGAACAAGCCTCAAAAAGTTGTATCATTGGGTTAATTTTCAGAAATTTACTCTACTAAAATGCATGCAAGCGATTTATCACAAAACCAGTTGAACTCCATTGTATTTCAACAATAGGTTTATTTTAAGAAACATAACATGACATTAAGTAAAAATGCAAAATTGTGCAATTATGGCAAAATGTTTAAAAATCCACACATTTGCCCTCATAGGACTACAGTACTTCTTACTAACATACCTGAGCACTGAATGTTGGATGCCATTTCTAAACAGCCTTACGAACAGGGAGCTCTTCGATTTCTTGTAGAACATACACACACCGCATGTTTGGTGCGCCAAAACTGCTTTCAGTTATTCTAAATTTTACTGATGAAATCAAGTGGAAATTACAAAATGTTTCCTTCTAAAGTAACTAATAATTTTGAAAAAGAGGTTTACACTCACGTAAGTCCTTACAATGCTAGAAATTCATTTAATAAAGGGAAATAAATGAACGCAGAAAAAATACCAAGTGGGGAAAATGTACAGATTACTGTTTAAATATTGTCAGTACCTTTGGTGCAATTATTTCTTTTTTTTTGTGCTGTGCAAGTTTACTTAAGCCTGACTCTAAAGCAAAACTTCACCAGGAATCTGACTTTCAGCAAAATGTAGAAGCATTTCAGAATTGGCAAAATGTCACAGCTACATTACTGTCTCAACAAACTCCTCATGCACAAGATTTAGTATATTCTACTCCCACGGCAAGTTCCAGGATTTAGCTTTTAAACACTTTACAGACTTGGATCACACCCTCAGTTTGAATGGTTAAACAGAATGGAGATCTTCGTACTTTAGTGCAGATAAACAAAATTAACAAACCTACTGCAGAATTAACCACAGCATATTGTACTTCTATACATCACATGACCAGTCAATTGCTAACTCAATTCTATTTCATAGTTTCAAGTAATATATTGAAATTTGTTCTACTAAATAAATATAGAAGATTGTCAAAAAGCAGCAAGAAGTCTTGTAAATATTCAACCAAGCTTAAAAAAAACCAAAAAACAAGAAAAAAGTTACATAACACTTCGCAAAAAAAATGTTTTTACACACAAATGCAACACTGTTAGGGAGGGTGCTTCAGAAAGCTTGCAGCTAGAGGCCTACAACAGCGCAAAGAGAGCTAGCCAAGGACTAAGGATAATTTTAAAAATGAAATTAGTTGTACTTTTAAAAAAACCCCTCTTATTCTTGGCTATGGATATATAAAAAACAGTATCCACAAGAAAACTAAACAAAGAAACAACACACCTCAACACTGTTGGAAAATGCAGTCTTAGCAAGAGTTGTCAACTTCAACTTCAGAAAAAAAATTCAGACGCTCACGTTTGAAAGAAGCGGTTTGGTGAATCTCTGGAAGATGAGGTATGTAATGCAAAGAGGCATTTTTTTTTTCCTTTTCATTTCACAGTTTTTTGTTTGTTTTTGCCTTTTAAACATTTTGTGCAAGAATTAAGAAATAGAACCAGGCGAGTATTTTCGTGTATTAGAAAGATTCCATTTGGGAACAGTAAGACCACATAGTAAACAAACATTATCCAAATCCTCAGCCAGCCAGGGGGATAAACAATGAGCTAAATATTTGGCTTACTGAAATATCAGCTGTTAAGCCAGATAATGGTAAGCACTTACATCCAGTGATGGCCACTGCCATTTCAAGTTAACTGGTTTACTTAGGTCCATTTGACAAAATAGGGAAGAGTAAGGTAACATACTCACAGCTCTGCAAAAATTAGAGCTGTGACAATTTAAGCCTGGCGAATTACAGCTGATACAAGTTTTAGGATTAATCTTTTCCCTTTTAAATCCAGTTTTCACTACTGAAGTAGAGGCTGAACTTAGAACTTCTTAAAAATAAGCTAAATGTTAAATACATAGAGAAAAGTGTTGCAATATATTGGATCCCTATTCTAAATTTCCATCTAAGATTATTTAAGCCATGGACATTTATTGCCAATTTTGCTTTAATACACTTGATAGTGAAGACAGCTCAGTAGTGCAAATTTTCACATTATAGATCAGAATGAAATAAAAGGTATTTGAGGACTTGATTGCGGGGAGAAAAGAAAAACTACTTGTAAAGTTAACCCACACTTTTTGAAATTACTGGAGCACATGCCAACTCTGCACATAGCACTGTACTTTAGTGGAGACAGAATGAATACTCCACGCAAAAAGAAAAAAAATAAAATCAATATTATTAAGGCCATATCCTGTCACCATTCTGTGCAAGAATACCACCACAGTAAAAATGTTATGTTAAAAAAGACAATATGATGACAGGACAGGGCCTGAAGACAGACACACACTCCATGAAAAACAACAGGCTGTCTTAAACAGTAGCATAAGGCTAGCCCATTTCAGACAAACAAGTATTAAAAACGTACTAGCACCATCAACTTTTGGGTTAAAGCCCTTTATGGGATGAAAAAAAAGGTTTAAAGCAGTGTTAAAAAAATGTTTTTACAGCACTACATCTATGTGACAGAAGACAGGTGCTGGGATTTTTCTCCCCCCTACCATTAAGCTCAATTTTAACAAAAATCCACACACAGGAAGTGGTACAGTGCCTCCGTCTGGGGCAAAGGTACTCCATGTTCCAATTCTGACTTGAGTTTTTCTCCCAAACTGTAGTGCACAAACAACATTGCAAACATCTTAGCAGACTTCAAAAACACTACAAAAAAAAAGATCATTATGAATCAGGATATACCATTCCTCTATGTACTTTCAATCTAGAATTAAAAAAAAACAAACAAACCTACAACCACTTAGTGATATTGCCTCAAATTTTACCCGTATTTAAAAAAAAAAAAAGAGAAAAAAAGAAAAGTCACTTCAAAACATCTTGGACATCCTTAGCTATTAATGCTAGATTTTCTTTCACTGTAGTGCATAGTTATCCTGGCTCTTCCACTTAATTTGCTCTTACCACAAAAACACCCCTCTAGTATGACATGATTAAGTGTCTACCAGAAAAAAAAATGCTGATAATTGCACTTTGTAACCTCCTTCTCATTTCCCAGGAAAATATCAGTAAATATGAAACTGAACCAGTAATTCCCTTCCCAGACTGCAACCTTTAAAGAGCACCCATCCCCACATACAAAAAAACTGTCTGTTTCAGCTTACAATAAATACTGACAGAATTTCTTTGTTTTCTTTTAAGACATGTTTTCTCTAGCATCAGATTACCACTCAAATCACTAAGGCCTGTTACTGAAAAAAAAAAATTTAAATAACTTTCTGAAGACACTGCGGATACAATTTAGCAACAACACATTCAAAATGCCGGCCTAAATCCCAGAGCCTATCTGGAGTCTCGTATACTTTTTGCCATTGGTCAGTAACCTCATCATACTGGTAGAGTGAATTCTTCCTGCTGGTTCTGAAAACATGTTCTTCAACAGTGACTTGAGTAGCTCTGACAAACAGATGGAGTTTATTTTTGAGGAGTACGAGTTTTATATACGGATTAATGGACTGATCACATGGAAAGTCTTTTTTTCGAGTCCACTTATTTTGTTCAATGTCATAGGCCTCTACGGTAAACATACGTTGATGGTTTCCACAGGTTCCAGCTATGTAGTAGATGGAGTCATTGTATACAGTTGCCAAGCCTTGGATTCTAGGCACAGTCATTGGGGTCAAAAATCCCCAGTAATCCTTCTGAGGATCATAGCAGAGAAAAAATTCCCCTGAAAAGAGAGAGGAAAAATAAAACATAACTTATGCTTCATTTCCAGAACAGCAATTCTGCAGCTACTAAGCTTTCAGGTATGTTCTTCCACAGACAGAAACAGTCTACCAATTTTTAAAAGCCTCGATCCCATAACAAAACACCTAGCACCATCGCCTGCTTTCTTCCAAGTGCATTACAAAAATATTAATAGCATGAGTAAAAACTACTTTGAGTTTCTATTCCAGCTGAAGAAAAGGGAATTTGAAGCATATCAGAAATACAATGTTTTATGTATTTCCTAGCTATCCTTTACTACTTCTAAACCATGCTTAATAATTTGGAACAAAACCTTTCAAGATTCCAGTCTTGAAATGTCTTAAGTATTTGTTTTGTTCTTTAACATCTTCACAACATGCCACCTACAGACTGTGGAGTCTCAGAATTCAGTGCCTGAAAGTTGTTAAATCTGAGCAAATAATTGTGTCACAAAAACCACGGATTTTGAAGCTACTTGTGTCAGGTGGCTGGGTTACACATTTAGGTTGATTTTCTTGAGAGGATGCCAGGTGAATACTTGCATGAAGCTCCTGATTCATCATTAGTTTTGCGTTTAGATTATAGAACACCTCTTCTGTTAACTTCACAGAGTAGCATCTACAAACTGTAGGTAATGGAAGTTCAGATTGACTGAAAGCTCATGCTCTTCAAATTTGATGAAAAGAGCATGAATAAAGACAATCTTGTCTTTTGTAAAGCCTGGGAGAAGAAAGGCCTAACATTTGCCAAATATTAGCATAATTCAAATCATACATAATTTCACATGGCTATTATAAGAATTTTAACCAAGCTGCTGTGTAACCAAGCACCTCAAGTGTAACAAATACAGAAATAATACAGTAAAATGGGTGGAACATATGAGATTATGAGATTAAGTCTTACAGATAATACATTTTTTGATTTTTCATTTTTGTTCCACAGCATAATCTCCTATGACTGACGCTTGCAGTTCGTTGGCATTTTAACACTCTCATCAATCCTTATTGACTACTTCAAACTTATGAGCTTTCTCTAGAAAAATTACTGAAAGTTAACTTTCTAATACTACTTCAGTGCAACTCAATCAAGGTTTTATCTACCCCACGCAAATAGAAAAGTTGCCTATTTCCCATAGCATGAATCTTTATAATTTGCTGGTTAGCACAGTGAAGTAGCTTGCTTACTTACGTGAGCATTGAGTTGTTGTTTAAAACACTGAAGCACAGAATTAGTGCAGCTAAAATTTGTGAACACATTATTATTCTATAGGTTATAACAACATCCACTTTTTGGCAGTTCTAAGAAACATTTAAAGGATGAACAAATTACCAAGTTAAATATTCCTCACCATTCCTTCTTACCCATCTAAAGCAGATGTCTGCCCCATTAGAATAGGCAGATTGAGAGAACTTGCTAGTGTAACAGAATTACTTGAAAGAACTTGCTAGCGTAACAGAATTATTTAAAGCCACCACCACCAAGAGTCAAACCTGATACAGAAACAAGGAAAGAAGAAAAGTCTGCAAATCATGCAGAAGCCCACCAACCTTACTGAGTGGCAGGAACACAAAGTGAAGACATCAGGTTGACTTTTTCCGGTAAATAACAATGACCTTACAGTACTCGCTATCCTGTTTCTTTCCTGTGATCCAGCTTTGTATGGAGAGTTACCCAAAGAGGGAGCTGGTATGGATCTAAGACCCCAGATTCTGCAGGTGTTTACACAGAGGTGGCCCTTAGCAAAACATAACCAAGACAACGCCGCCTCCTTTCTTTCCACTGCTTGGGACTCTTAGTACAGCCTCATAAGACCAGTCTCAGCACTTTTAAGTGTAGACAGCTATATGGCTTATGCATACATACAAATACATATTTTATATAAGGTCTCCATAAATAAAGGGAAGAATAAATTATTTGATCCATTCCCATAATGATCCTTTTTATTAATTTAAGGATCGCTGTTTAATACACCAGTAAGTCTGATCATTTACCAGAAGAAAGGATGTAAAGGCAGTACTACATTTACTGACCAAAGAACCAGAGTTAACTAGAAAGACAGAAGTCATCTTTCTTAGTTACCGGGCTGACTTCAAAAAGCAGGGTAGAGCAGGAAACAAATGCGTACAGTGGTTAATTGACTTTTACAAGTCACCAAGAATACAGACACCAGCAATTTTCGTGTTTAGCTAAATAAAATGCAAAGTGCTTTTTCATAGGACAATATCTTTTCTTCAACATTATTAAATCTTCTTTATCTGGGTAAAATGCGCTGAAGAATTTTCACAGTAAAATTTAATACTATACTGTTGACATAGAACACCACCAAACTGCCATTTGTGCAATAACTCCATACTACGACTTAGTGACATGTTCCCAGGGCATGAGAACCCAAGCAGCAACCTCTCTTCTTTGCCCACTGCTCTCCCTAGCCTTCCTCCCACCCCATTGTCACAGAGCACCCTTTAAACGTCCAGGAAACTCGGGTTTTCTAAGGTGCTTTAGAGAGCACAGACAGTCAGATTGAACAATCCCCACTTCCAATAAAACGCCATATAGTCAGTCAAACCACCTTACCCTGTAAAACATAGATGTTATCCTTATATTCCACAGCACTATGAAACTCCATTGCTACCGGCATTGGACATACAGCTGTCCAACAGTTCTCTCGGCTGTCATAACACTCCACAGACTTGAGTGAGTTTCGCCCATCTCCTTCATAAACGCGACCACCTATTGCATACAGTTTACCACAGCAATGAACCAATTTGCAGCCTATTCTGGCTCGCAACAAAGGAGCTTTCGGAATCCACCTATTGCCAGAGTGATCATACATCCAAAAATCACTCTCTGCTCTGTGGTCAATGGAGACCTCGCTGCTGCTTGGTCTGTAACCACCCGCAATATAAATATCGTTATCAGGAGATACAAGAATTCCAACCTCCCTCAAGTCATTTGGTGGCTTGCATAGTTTAAACACTCTCCCTGTGACCGAATCTAAACAAGGCACTGTTTGCTTCTTTCCTGAGTGTTTGTGGGCAGCATCAAAGCATATGATCATTTCAGAAGCGGTCATTCCAAGCCGTTGTGTATAGCCATTGGCACTATGTTGTCCCTTTTGTACACAGCTTTTGGCCATAGCCTGTGCAAACATGGGAGGGATTTTCTCTAAAAATGTCTCTTCCAACAGAGGCATACGGATGCATTTGGCAAATATTTCTGGAAGGTGCACTTCTCTCTTATTTTGTTCATGCTCAAACCACCTTATAATGCTGTCATAAACATGTTCTTCTTTGTCTACATTTAAATCATCACTGTCGAGTATACTTATCAGTTGGTCTTTTCTCAACTGAAGAAATTCTTGCTCTTTGGTGACACTCAGAAACTTTTTACGAATGTAGTCCTGTGATCTGTCTTTGAGTTCCTGATGACCATAGTGATCAGCAAAGATAAACACCCCAATGGAGTTCTGTGGGTCCAAATGACTGATCATATATTTAGCACACTGGTCTTGTATGGAAGGGATCTGGAAGATACTAGCTGCAGTGAACAAAGCTTGAACGTTGGCCTCTGTCAGCATTACTCTGGAGGTATATGCATAGTTCAATACTAAATGCATTGACTCTGCTTCAACACCAACTATACGAACTTCTTTCTGGGTACTCTCTGTAAGGCCGCTAGTGAACATAGATCTACAAAAGAAAAACATTTAGCAGTTTATTTGTAATTACCTTCTAACTACAAGTGTAAGAAATTAAATTATATTGTACAGCTAATCCCAATGTGTTCGCCCTTATATCAGCACAAATACATTTATCACTGACATTACACTGTCCTGTTTGGGTCCCCAAATTTAAGATCAGTTCCAGACTTACCAAAACAAAAGTGGCAAGCTGGAATTTCTTGTTTAATTGTCTCACTAACCCCATATTAAAATTCACTCAGTTTAAAGCAAAGCTCCTGACACATCCAAGTCTTTGCAACTTTCAACTCAACTTTCAACATATTATTTCATATGCATATTCTAGCATGCTAGAATATATAACTTTAAAAGGAAACAAGTAGTTTAAGTATGCTATTATTGTATCCAAGATACCCTCAACACTGGAGGCATTTTTGTTTTGTTTTGTTTTTTAAATAACGTGACATTTTCTCCAGTGAAACTCATCTTTGATAAACAGACACTGATAATTCAGAGAACAATAACCTTTACTTACTAGGTGCACTATATTATCGTTAGTTACATGGAATAGTAGTATAGGTGTGATTTTTTCCTAATTTTCATTTAATGAAAGTAAGTTAGAATTCTGCTTTTGATCACCATTTCAAAAATGGACTATTGTACCTGAAATAAGGACTGATTGCAGCAAGAACATTCCTATGACAGGAGAATGTTTTCCCATGATCCACTTCCACTACGATATCTGTCAGTTGTCCTTCATCATACATGGTTTTAAGCTGTTGAAGAATACTACAAGCATGGAAGGGGTCCATTCCACTGCTGACTGTGTTTGAAGAAGGAATTCCATTCAGTGTTTGTGAAAACTTACTTGGTTCTACAAAGCAAAATTGAAACCGTTTAACAAAAAAACAAACGAGAAAACCACCCCCAAAAAAACCCCACACACCAAAAAACCCCATGCATGAACAAGAATTAGCACAAATTAATATTCCATACTTCCTCACTGTCACCATCCATCAAGTCTAAAACTTTCAAGGGGTGAGTAAAGATATAAAGATTCCTCAATTATTTTTTTTCTTCCCTTTTCCCAATGTACATGTAGGTTACCATTAACCTATAAAATTATATCCATTAATGCTAAGAAAAAGAAAATCATATAAATAGTTCATACTTATTACATATCACTGGGGAGGAGGGAAATTAAGTCAAGAATCACAATGATTGCTGACGTACAAAATGGGAAAAAACAAAGAATGCAGAAGAATAAAATAAGCCCCCAATCTACATCACTATTACGCAAGTCTGTATGATGTACGTACTTAACTCCACACTGAAACAGGAACTGGCTACTAACTTACACAAGCCATAGTTAATAGTGTAGACTCATGAAGAAACAGCCCTACAGTAAGCATGTTGGGCAACAAATTCACATAAAATTGTATATACGGTTACATGTTTTTCTTTACAAAAAAAATGCAATTACCATTTAAAATTACTCAGGTGTGAAGGAGTTTGCATATCATTGTAAAAACATATGAAGCGGAGCATATGTTTCTAAGTAACATGTGATATGCCTAATGAAGTAAATCCACAAGTGAAAATTGAGCAATGTCTCAAGCACAAAAATCCGTTTCATAATAGCAACAAATTTTTTTACACAACAACAACAAAGGAGAGCTCAAACGAAAAACATTAGGTGGCAAGAGCTGCAAATCAGGTAAAGCTGCTGACTGCAACAGAGAATGCTTCCGACAAATTTTGGCCAACACAAAGGGGCAAAGAGGATAGCAAACAGCAATTGTTGATAATGAATAGGAGATTTAAATTCTAACTCGTGGTGATATACAGCAGTTACAATTTGTCTTACTCAGAATTCAGACACAGCTTTGAACACAGTCACAATTAAATCAGTAGGGATCTGCTGTTGGGCACACATTTCCCACGGCAGGCTCAGGGCCAAATATTTTCAGCGTCTCTTCAAAGCACCATTCGGAAAAGTCTTTTAAACACTTTTTTTTTCCCCCCCAAATACAATAGTAAATACTTAAAGGTAAGATCTACAACAGGGGAGTTTATTTTATCACGGTAACTGAGCTCCAACATTCAAAACTAATCAATCATTACGGAAGGGGGGCATTTGTACTTGTACTTGTTCAGAAACAGCGTTAATCACTAGCGAGCAAATTCCAAGTAAATAATACTTTGCTATATCAGTTCTCAGGCTTCCTATCTAGCAAAGCTTTGATGTACAAGAAAACCATGATGTAGCTACCATTGCAGAAGAGTTTCATTTACTTTCTAACAGTAAAAAAGATGCAAAATAGTTCTTCTCTGACCCTGACAGTCACTTGAGCAATGAACACATGCAATCAAGGCAGCTTCTAGCGCTGGCAGACTCAGCCAGGAACAGATACTCATCCCTGTATTCCAGTTTTTCTGTTTAATCCTTGACACTACCTGCATTACAGTTCCCACCCCATAAAACTTTCCCGATCACT